TGAGCTGATTGCTCTTGATACTACTTTCACAGAAGCCGAATGGTTAAAAGATCTTCTTTCTGAACTTCCTTTAGTCCCTAAACCCTCTCCTCCTATTTCCATTCACTCTGATTCTAGATCTACCATAGATCTTCTAAAGCAAGTACATGTAAATAAAAAACATAACAGACATATTCAAATAAGATATAAGTCTGTACGACGCCTATTAGGCAAAGTTGTGATCTTGGACTTTGTAAAGTCTGAGAAAAATCTTGCTGACCCTTTGACTAAGGGATTATCCAGGAGTGTGGTTCTGGATTCATCGAGGGAGATGGGGTTAAGCCCATAAATGAGGTCACTGACAGCGGCAACCCAACCCTTATTTGGAGACGTAGTCCCAATGTCGGTTCAATGTGGTAGAAACAAGCTGGACAAGTGACTCTCGTGTGGAGCATCGACCTAGATATATTTATATATCATTATGTAGCATTTGCTACTACCCCTTCTCTATGATGACGATGCTCTTATGATACAGCTGGCTAGGCTGAGTTTTACTCTTAATAAGTCCAACGCGTGTATTGTGGGGGGTATTAAATAAACAGCTGTAGTACCCTTTGAGGACTTACCTACGTGAGAGGAACCGTGATGGCCGCGGTTAGGGGGGGCTGGGCTAACCTGAGTCGGTTTTTTGTGAGCATGGCCTTTAACGCTCAACCCGCTTAGCTCAATAGATGAAACATATTGTGTGTGTTTTTATCAATACCTGATCCAAGGGGCCTAATTCAAGGCCTAGTCCATTATGTCCCTCAGGTGGCGATAAACTCACTAAGGAAAGGTTCAAAGCCGAAAGCTACCTCTCCCGAATTCACGATACGAAAGGTTGCCCAACCTATATTTATTTTGAGATTTATTTATTGATTTATTATTTTGAATTATCAGTCAATATTGCCTTTTGGGGGGGACTGTTGGAAGCTTTGTTCATGAAAAGGCAATTTTGCCTTTGTGAATAGTCCCACATTGAAAAATGAGATGAGTAGTAAAGGGTATATAATGGTTCTCTCCTTATTGGGCTTTGAATAATGTTTTGGGTTTTGTGGGCTTTGCATTTCTACCACACACGCGCGCGCACGTACGCCAAGCCTCGCCACGCCCGCACGCGCGCGCCACGCCGCACTGCACACGCACACCTTTTTGCCTCTCAAGCTTTTATTTTGCACGTTTTACACATTCTGTAACGGCTGCATGCGGGTAACGGAAGCAAAACTTGTGCGTAACGGTCTCTTGGATTCAGCGGGGGTTACACTTCTCCTCACCTATATAAACAGGCTTGGAGCTCATTCAGAAGCACACTAACGAAGAGGAAAACTTCTAAGCTCTCTTCTCTTCTCTACTCTCATACCTCTAAGAAATTTCGGCTACATATTTATATTTCTATTTGTTGGGCAACCATTTTTCGTCTGAGCATAAGCTATGTGACTCACGCCCGAGTGCAGAGGCCGGCCGATTCCGGGGGGTTTTACCGCTAGGGGAGAGAGGACAAATTGCGCCAGGGCGATAGGCGGGTCCTTAATCTTCTAGGGCAGTGATATCACGACTGCTCCCAATCAGGCCTGAATTTTCCAACTCTTTAATTTGTTTTTATATTATTATATTCCTGTTTTGACAGCAATGCCTCGTAAAGCTCTTAGTCATCACACATAACATATCCGGATCGTTTTAGCCAGGAGAGTTGTGTTTAGATTGATCTTCTTCACTGTTCAGTCTGTTCCTTAATGAGCTACACTATATTCTTTGATGAATGATATGTTTTAACAAGAGGGGTGTGTGATTTGTCTTTTATTCTGAGCTTAATTATTTGTGTTGAGTTTTAATTTGAACTTTTTTGATGGAATAACTCAAACCGGTTGAATTAAGGGTTGGGACTAGTTAGCGCTAAGTGTTACTTTTTATGGGAGTTATGTTAGACGACTGGGTCCGGGTAGATTTCAGGATGCGGTATTGTAAGTCTACTAAATCGAGTTTGTGATTCAAGAGATTTTTTTGCATTGTGAGTAAGCCCGTTCACAAGAATGAAGAGTGGACGTAGGATTATTATTCGAACTACTATAAAATCTCGTGTGTTCTTCGTTGGTTACTTGGTGATTATTATATTACTCTATGCAGTTTATCGCTTTTATTTTATATATTCGACTGTATATTCTATATGTTTGGCGAAAACAGTAGCAATCCTATTCACACCCCCTCTAGGCTTGCGTCTCAAATCGAACAAGTTCACCTTTAACATGCACCAGGTTAAGTTTTAATCTATATTAAAACTATGACATAGATCAGGATAATTCCCTTATTTAGAAGTAAAAGCTATTGTATACTCTGATGGCTACACACAAAGCAAGTCTCTTCCAAAATTAGGCATAAATGCCAAGGGAGATT